CCCCAGTTACTATAAATAGCAACAATAAAGGCAATACGAGGATCCTTTTTCCCGACAGATAAATTCCGCATTAATCACCTCGGCTCTCGCTGGCTTTAGCATCATTACACTGTAAAAAACCGACCTCAAGTCCTTGAAAAACCGACTTGATATTGTCTTAAGAACTCTTCAGTTACTCAATAAAATCGTCTCATTACCGCATTAATCATAAAGTTAAAATATAAAAAGTTGATCAAATCCGTTTATCAACACCGAGCTTGAGCTTTTAGCAGCACTGAGTTGTGTTCGCGAATGACTCAGTTCAAAGAACAATTTTATAGTTGATTCATAATTTTCTAGAGGATTATTTATTCATCTTTTACTTACACAATTGTAATGTTGTTGTATCCTCGGAATTTAATACGGGCCGGTCCACAATAATCGCACAATTGGGCCTCTTATAATGACTTTCCATCCCATAATGTCTGGCCCAAAGAAAAATTATCGATTGACTCGATCAACAGACTATAACCGCAGATGACGACCGACTACTGATCGACAGAGATGGACGATTAGTCCTTGGCTTCCCCGAGTAGACTCCTCCCACTTAATAAAGCCATCGCTCAGGCCTGTCACATCCTCAAACGACAAGACTTTCAGGGATACGCACATCGTCATCTTACATCCTTAGGTGGCATAATGTCTTTAATGTTGAAACCCTAATTTTGGTTATAAATCAGGCCTCCACTAGAGGTCAAGATAATATGAGAAAGAGAAGAGCGAATAGTCATCACCACTACCCCTTATTCTCACCAAAAAATATTACTACCTGATTGGTTACCCCTGTTTTAGGCCATGAGCCACACATGTAAGCATTTTCATTAATAAAACAGGCTCGCAGATCTACATCTCCTCGTTGCACCCATTTACGAACCGGATAAATCGGTGTCGAATTACTTCCCTCAATTTCTTTTATCCATTTAATAAAATTAACTCCTTAAACAGTTATAATAACAAATAATTATCAACTTTATTACCTTAACTAATTAAACACATCTCGTAACTGTTGAAGGCCTACCGTCAATAGAATGGTGCTAGGGCGCAACTATCAAGGGTTATTGAGCCAATAAATAGCCATCATTCCCTCAAGATGTTTTCACAACCAAACACTTACTCTTTCATATACATGGCTTCCTCCTCCCATAGGAAGGGCGGTTCAGCCGACTCGACCCTCTTTCCTCTTCCACGATCGGCCATGTGAATGGGCGACACCACTGACCCCCTCGTTCCTGATAGCCTTGTTATTTTACCCATATAACATCTACAAAAGTCTCGAAATACTTTTTGTCTGCCTATTCTAGCCACAAAAAAAAAAAAAAAAAAAAATCTTGCATTTTGGCCATGGCATGTTATCATCCACCTTCGAAAAAAAAAAATGTATCGATCGACTCACCGTTGAAAAGAACGTGAGGGTGAAGGATTTGTCGATCCTCGAGTAATCCAAGTCCACTCAAGGCCACAGTCTTAAGAAAGGGTTGAACAACATGTTCGAAATAAATTTTACTATTGTCCTCTCTTTAGGCCCAGAACTCACCTTCTCAGTTATCAGTCTGTTAATGGTCAGATGGTCGCTGAATATTCTTGATCATGACTATTGGTCGAATCAATCGTCGTGTTTGGTTGGTGCTGCAAAACTGGGGGCCCGACGGTACCTCGATCCTATCAAGTAATATAACACCACGGTCAAGATAAACCATCGAGGTCAATCAAGACCGCAAGCCGCTCCCATTATCAATTGTGATCCCCCAATCGACACACGCTTACTATTCTATTTAATAATGCCCTCATGGGACACTTTTGGCAATATTATCCCATGATAAGAGCGTCATCTGCACAATACCTGTCGATCTGCAACCGTCAGTAGCATGCAAAAATAAAGGCTAATCTATGTATTGCTTCTTAGTCTTCTTCAACAAAGTACCCGCATGACGAAATAGCACATTGTTCAGCCATTCATCATCCCACTGTGGCTGATCAAACTATGAGGAGGTATCAACAACCATCAAGAAACTCCTCAAGCATGTATACACTAATAATATCGATAGTTTTACTTTGTAGAGATGTATAGGCTGACAAAGTTACACATGATTATGTATCCCATTAATAACACATTGTATAGTGGGAAATTTATGATTATTTTACATAATTATTGTATTTTTACGATTGCTCGATCTTTTTTCTTTCGATCGCTTCTTTTTATCGATCGCACAACAATTGGCAAAATCAAAACAATCAACTTACCTTGGCCCGCTAAAAAGACTGGTGCAACACAACTGGTCCATTCAAATGATGTCGAATGATGGATTACAAGCGGCGAATACAAATAACTGAAAAAATGACCAACCACTGAGAGATCTCCATAACAATCTAAGATGCATGGCAATCCTAAAGGGTGACGAACGAACCCGGCTGCAGCTAATATCAACGGTCGCAAGCTCAACGACACAATGACGTCGACCTCAGTCTCGAGACAAAGATGCTCATAGACATTGATTTCAAGGACACGGCTATAACAAATTCAACACGAACTATTAAGAGTGCCCGAACTAGGCCACAAAGGCTATTAATCTACTATAAGTCGCGAGATATAGGCCTAGCACCCACAAGGGATCCCGTTCGTTGTAAGAAAAATTACCGCATGCCAGGTCATCAGGTCAGAAACTCTCGACACTGCACTCGATTGGGAATAAAAACTATGTATACAAGACACCCTTAAACCTTGCGCGGGGTCGTGCCTGCCCTTTTTAAAGCTTCTCGAACACCCGCAGATACGTCGATCCACAAGCTCGATCAGAAGTATAAAATCTCAATTGGGAGTGTAAACTCCAATAAAAAACGAGGTCCGTTGAAGCCCAAGTCAAATCTCTTCCGAGCAGTGTCAAACCCCGAAAAAACATTGGCGCAACCTACGCCCACGCCAAAATGCTTCCATGCAGTGTCAAGCCTCGGTAAAATCAATTCCAAGTGGTGTCAAGCCTCAACAAAACCTTGGCGCGACCTACGCCCAAGTCAAAATGCTTTCGGGCAGTGTCAAGCCTCGGCAAAACATTGGCGTGACCTACGCCCTAGTCAAATCACTTTCGGACAGTGTTAAGCACCCGGTTAAAACATTTTCGGGTGGTGACAAGCCCTAGCAAACCCTTGGCACAACCTACGCCAAAGTTAAAATGCTTTCGAGAGTGTCAAGCCCGAAAAAACCTTGACACGATCTACACCCATGACCAAATGCTTCAGAGAGGTGTCAATCCCCGACAAATAGTGGTGCGATCTAGCCCTGAGTCGATCGCTTCTAGAAAGTGTCAAGCCCCGACCAAAACTATTTTTTTATCTAAAACCTTGGCGCGTAGATCGCCATGTCGATCGCTTTCGGGTGGTGTCAAGCCCCTGTAAAAAATACTTGTATCTAAAACCTTGGTGCAATCTACACCCAAATGGATCACTCTCGGGCGGTGCATGCCTAGTCAAAATACTTTTTAGTCGTGTCGATCCACTCGACCTACTTGCTTAAACAAACACAACTGGCTTCCAAAGATCATACATGTTATTTGAAATCGCAAAGCAAGATTTCAGAAAGAAAACAAACTTCATTGAAAATAAATAAAGCACAGATGTTCAAAAGGCCACACTCCGACCAGAAAAAACAAAAATTCAAAAGTGACACAAAAACCCAATACATTATTCCAAAACACACTTTTTACTGCTGGAAACTACTGATCGTCCAAGCACTTGCCACTACCACAGGCCTCTCCTTGGCCCGTGGACGATCTTCCTTCGGACGACATAGCCTCTCCCGACGAAGCTTGACGTACCACCGCTTTGCAGGTATTGATGTATATGCTGAAAGCTTGGCTTTAGATGATATTTACACTTTATTTTTGTTGAATGAGAATCGCGTTTGATTAAACAACTCTAAGTTCTGTTGTTTTGCACTTAGATAAAATAGTTCATTTGCGGGTGAACATAATATCTTTTTATCAGTTACTTGCTAAATAAGAATGATGGGTTCACAACCTAAATGGAATGAACAAACCATCAGAACGATTGCAATGTCTACCATACAGTTGATCTTGACTGATTAGTTGCTTTAGTACATTTATGTCTAAAAAGAGTAATAAATGGGATATATTGATTCATTGCACTTTATTATCTTCCTTCAATCCGAATATTTCAATATAATTTTACATTAAAAAATCAATTAATATATATTTATTTATAAAATTTATTATTTATTCACTCACATATTTATAATCATAAATTTGTATTTTACTATCACGTTACATTTAATTATAATTATTTATAAAAAAATTAAAATACATGTAATTAGACCGAATAAACTTCCAATTCCACATTTTTTGTCCATCAAAAAAAGTTGTAATATAGGGTAAAAGTAAATAAAATGGCCGCGAAAACTAAACATAATCTGCAGAGTGGAGCCTTATCAATTTATCATGCAAATGGCAACAATTGACAGGCAGAAGAATAGCCACACAAGCACAACCCAATACATACCACAACACTTTTTTTTTTTATTTGAAGAGTCCATCCCATCTCCTCATCCACTTATCACTCCTCTCTCAATTCCTTCTTCGTTCCCCTCTCTCAGCTCATTTGTCGAACATCATACAGCAATCTCGGCAAACTCTGCAGGTATATATTGATCATCTGATGCCCATGTATTGTTTTCAAGATATAGTATTTTTACTGAGATGGGTTTTTCAAGTAGTCATGTTATGGTGAGTTGTTAGATTTTCCAAGTCTCCAAGCTGGGATTTTTTTTTTTTTTTGTTTTTAAAAAAGAAAGCGTTTATGAAGAAATAAAGAAGAGAGATTGTATAAAGGTTGGTCTTTTTTGCTGTTCTGTAGATAATTCGAAACATTTAGTGGGTTTTGCATTTGATATACAGACAGCGATTGGAGGGGTTAGTCTTGGAATGGTGAAGGATATTTAAGTGTTTTGAGGAATGGCTTCTTTAGCTTCCCTGGCTAATTTGGGAAGCGTTAATACGAATTCCCTCAGTAATTTTGACGGGTCTGTTTGTTTAGTCCGGAGCATATCTTTCCGTAGAAATGGGACTAGTTTTAGAAGCCAGAGGTGGAGGTATGTCGGCATGTGTAGATGTTCTGTGACAACTGATTTCATTCCGGAACAAGGGACTTCGGTGTCTCTTGATTCCACTAACAATGGTGGCAGTGAAAACACTGGTCCGGACTCGTTTCTTAAGGCGGCTCCTAAGCCTGTCTTGAGGTCGGCCCCCCAGCTCGACCCTGTTCTCAGTCCTCCTCTGGATGAATCCAGGCGTAACAGGGAATCGAGCCGTGATAAAACGAATGGTATGGATGAAAACAGAAGTAAGGTGATAGAGTCTCTGGGAGAGGTATTGGAGAAGGCCGAGAAGTTAGAGACGAACAAGAATTCAAAATTTTCAGTACAAAAATCTTTGAATGGTGATAATGGTAAACCACCTAGTCCTGCAATTAACTTGAATAACATGCCTAAGACGAGGAGTGTCTGGCGTAAGGGTAATCCTGTAACGACTGCGCCGAACATTGTGAAGGAACCTTTTAGGCCTGCAATGACCGGGCAGAAAATTGTAAAGGAACCTTTTAAGCCTGTAACGAGCGTGCAGAAAACTGTGAAGGAGCAGGAAACAGAAGTAGATGGGGGAAGGTTGGTTGGCTCTCAGGCTGTTGTTAATCCACTGAAACCCCCACAGCCACCTCAGAAAATCCAACCAAAATTGCAAATCAGACCTTCAGTGGCTCCTTCTCCTCCAACTTCTGTTAGAAAACCCGTCATCTTGAAGGATGTAAATGCGGCTGCTAAGCCGAATGTTGCTGATAGAGCTGATCCAGTCACGGAGCCTGCAGAAAGGAAGCCGATTTTAATCGACAAGTTTGCATCCAAGAAGCCGGTAGTTGACCCTTTGATTGCTCAAGCTGTTTCTGCTCCTCCTAAGCTGAGCAGAAGTCCTGCACTTGGGAAGTTCAAGAACGAGTTCCGAAAAAAGAGTGGGCCATCAGGGGGACCTCGTAGGCGTATGGTTAAAGGTAATGATGATAATCCTGATGATGATTCATCTGAACATGATGCTTCAATACCTGGGATGGCCAGAAAAGGAAGAAAATGGTCTAAAGCGAGCCGGAAGGCAGCCAGGCTTCAGGCAGCCCGGGATGCGGCCCCTGTTAAAGTGGAAATTATGGAAGTTGATGAGGATGGGATGTTCACCGAGGAGTTGGCGTTCAACTTGGCCACCAGTGAAGGTGAAATTCTGGGATATTTGTACTCTAAAGGAATCAGGCCTGTTGGGGTCCAGAAGCTGAGCAATGAAATGGTGAAGATAGTGTGCAGAGAGTATGGGGTGGAAGTCATTGATGCTGCCCCTGTGAGGGTGGAAGAAATGGCCAAAAAGAAGGAAATTTTCGACGAGGATGACCTGGATAAATTACAAGATAGGTCTCCTGTGTTAACAATAATGGGCCATGTTGATCATGGAAAGGTAATAAAATAAGTCATTAAATCAGTTCTTTTATTTTGTAATAATGGATTACTGTGTCCATATTAGCTCCAGCTGACTAAATTACGCTCTTGTGCAGACGACGCTTTTGGATTACATACGGAAAAGCAAGGTATATACGCAGCTTCAAGTTTTTGGATCACACTGATGTGAATAAATTTGATTACATGACAAGCTACACCATATTACTTAAAGTATTATGTCATTTTGTTAAATTTAGTTGCTCCAGAACTGAATTTCAGCTTCTATGATTATTAGGTGGCAGCATCAGAGGCTGGTGGCATTACACAAGGAATTGGGGCTTATAAGGTTCAAATACCTGTGGATGGAAAGCCTCAAACATGTGTCTTTCTTGATACTCCAGGACATGAGGTATTTTTCTCTCCCCCTCCCGGTCGTGTATGCTATTACACCTGCCCTGATATACAGCACATTGACTATAACGTCATAAGATTTATGTGTTGAAGCTATTTTCTTTGTACTCAGCATTCTAAGTTATTTTGAAAATATTTGTAGGCATTTGGAGCCATGAGAGCTCGAGGAGCGAGAGTAACAGACATAGCTGTGATTGTAGTTGCAGCTGATGACGGAATTAGACCCCAAACAAGTGAAGCTATTGCTCATGCCAAAGCTGCCGGAGTTCCAATTATTGTGGCTATAAATAAGGCAATTTGATAGTGATGCACGCCTTTTATTGCATTTAGAATGCTAACATGCTCTTCCAAATACTTTTTATGTGTTATAACAATATCGCTGGTACAACTTTGCATTAAAAACTGGATCTTTTGGATGTTCATAGTTAAAAAATAGCATGATACAATTAGCAAGGTTAAAAATAGCAAGACTGCATTATTAAAGTTCAGAGTTAGTTAAGTCCGTTTAATTATAAGGAATTATATGCATTAGTATTGCATTGCTAAATTTCTTGGTTGTTATTGAGGGTGTTTAGATTTTTTATTCATATCTACATCATTGTAGATAGACAAGGACGGAGCTAATCCCGATAAAGTCTTACAAGATCTATCTTCAGTTGGTTTGATGCCTGAAGACTGGGGTGGTGACATCCCAATGGTTAAGGTAACAAAACTGTGGTGTAGAGTTCTATGCTCATCCTTCCCCAAGAAGTAAAAAAAATAATATAAAAAATAGATTTTTTTTTTTTTTTTTTTTAACCACTGTTTCTATTGGGTTTCATCTCTAGCCTACCCCAACTTGTTTGGGACTAAAAGGCTTTGTTGTTGTTGTTGTTGTTGCAAGATGCTAAAGTGATTATGCAACAATTTATAACAGATAAGTGCTCTTAAGGGGGAGAACGTTGATGAGTTGCTGGAAACCATCATGCTCGTAGCTGAGGTAGTTACTGCTTTTTTTTTCCTTTTTTTTTTGTCAAAATAGTTCTATGTCCTAGCATATCGAGATCTACCGCAAAATCTAGCATGTTATATTATGCTCATGCATGCATCTATTTTCCCGCCGTAATGAGGGCATATAATATTAGACACACACACACACACACGGTCTGATTCAACTCACGTGGAACACAGTTCTCCAGTGTTGCCTAGTTTTTCGGATTTCCCTTTAATGGTTGGGACTTGGGACTCTATGAATTGGGTTTCTAAAAGATGAACTACACACACACACACACATTACGTATGCAACTGTTATACATCTTTTGATTTTCCTTGTTTACAAACAAAAATGTTCAGATTTGAATTAGAGTAGATTTTCTTCTGAATTTTGGTTAATTTTCCAATTCAAGTTACAAGAACTGAAGGCTAATCCAGATAGGAATGCTAAAGGAACAGTTATTGAAGCTGGACTCGATAAATCCAAGGGACCTTTAGCTACTTTCATTGTGCAAAATGGAACACTCAAAAGAGGAGACATAGTTGTTTGTGGTGAAGCTTTTGGAAAGGTTTGTATGTGAAACTGAACATCTTTCGAGAATATTCTATTAGGGTTTTCTTGACTTTTCAAGATATCCTCATTTGTGGTATCAGGTACGAGCATTATTTGATGATCAAGGGAAGCAGGTTCATGAAGCAGGACCCTCTATCCCTGTGCAGGTACTTTGCTATTTATGTGTGTATTCTAAAATTGTGAACTTTTTTCATTGTAAGTTATGATATTATGGGGCATTATAATTGAACTGTATGCACATTGTGCATGTTAATCAACATATTTTTGGTGCTTCCATTTGAAATGCCTCTTTGGAACTTTACTTCTGATCTCCGACAAGTATTTATACTATGTGCTGCACTGAGTTCACCGAGTAAGCTTTGCATTTGTGGCTGCTCTAATTCCAAAGGGTGAAGCTGATATGTTTGAGATAATTTAGTTGCGGGGACCATAAAGAATCAGAATTTACTATATTGGGCCTATGTTTACTCTATACCTAATATCATCATTGGTTAATTTCAACTTGAAAACTGTAGTAACTTCACTATGGATGCCTTGCTTCCTCGTATCGCATATATAAAATGATTTATTTATTTATTAGTTTTATTTTTGTAACTAGTTTCTTTTCAGTTTCTTTTTCTGTTAATTGATTAGCTTCTGAAGAAGTTGTTTGGTTCTTTTGAAAATAAAGCCACGTATTGCAACTTCAACCCCTCGGTTGTATTTAATCAATAGGCTGAAACTTTAAGCAAAAGCTTGCGGACAGTGAGTACTTGGTAGATAATTTGATGTAATCGCATGTCATGCGAGCAAAAGGTGTTGCTCATTTTAGGACATTCATGCCATTTGAAGATGTATTATTCGCTTGAAAATTTTTAAATTATTCATTGTATTTTTACTTCTAGCTTGACGGACTCCGAGATTTTGTCACCACCTCACTCTCTACATGAACAGATAATCTGTCCTGATTTTCTTTTCAAAGTTTGAACCTTGGAAACTATTTTCTATTTCTTGATAATTATAATCTGTGTGCTTGGCAGGTCATTGGATTAAATAATGTTCCTTTAGCTGGTGATGAATTCGAGATTGTTGATTCTCTTGATATAGCTCGAGAAAAAGCCGAGTCACGTGCAGAGTATTTGCGGAATGAGCGTATTACAGCAAAAGCAGGGGATGGAATGGTCACACTTTCTGCTTTAGCATCTGCGATGTCGGCTGGAAAGAATTCTGGTTTAGATCTTCACCAGCTTAATATGATATTGAAGGTTGATGTTCAGGTATGAGGTGCATATTGGAAATGAAAGGGCTTAGGATAGCGTGACTTATTTTGTTAATCAATATTGTTAACTGAATTTTACTTGAGTGAGAACAGAGGCATTTGAAAGCTAAAATACAATACGTTTTCAATGTTACCTGCACAAGTTTAAAATTGTTAACTTTAATACCAATAGATTCAATAATTTCTCAAGACATCAGCTTGATTTACAATTAAGTTGAATATTTGATTCATGGCTAGGGATCGATTGAGGCTGTCAGACAAGCTCTTCAGGTACTTCCACAAGATAACATCACACTGAAGTTTCTACTGCAAGCAACTGGGGACGTGAGCATCAGTGATGTTGACCTTGCAGTGGCAAGCAAAGCCATAATCTTTGGTTTTAATGTAAGAACAGCAGGTTCAGTCAAGAGCTATGCAGATAACAAAGGTGTTGAAATCAGGTTGTATAAAGTTATCTATGAGCTTATTGATGATGTCCGAAATGCAATGGAGGGCCTCTTGGATTCGGTTGAGGTAAAGCACGCCTGCTTTTCCTTTTGAATTAATTGAAAATTTACCTGTTCCTTGATAATAAATTGATAATTAATCCACTGTTGAAACTTGACAAATGCTCGGTACAGTATTTATTGGAAAACAAGGCACTTTTGATGTCTTATCTAGGTTTTGTTTCCATAATCAGGAAGTTTTACGATTTAAGGCTAAAGAAGAGACTTGATATTGTACTGTAGCATGATTAAAAATTTGAAACTTTTCTTCGTGGCACATACCATTTTATATTTTCTTTAAATATTTTTTTTCTTAATCCATTCGTGTTCAAATCGTAATGACGTAGTTCTCATGTTTGTGTTGTGGCTTTTACTCTGTATTTTATTTTTGTAAGGCTTGCATTTTGTTATGCAGGAACAAATTCCAATTGGTGCAGCAGAAGTTAGGGCCGTATTTAGTAGCGGTAGTGGCCGTGTTGCCGGGTGCATGGTGACAGAAGGCAAAATAGTGAAAGACTGTGGAATTCGTGTGCTAAGAAAGCGCAAAGAAGTTCACGTTGGTGTGCTTAGTTCGTTAAGACGAGTGAAGGAAATAGTGAAAGAGGTAATTTTGAAAGTTCCTTTCTTAGTAGCCTACTTATGTACTCTCAATACGTTAATAGAGAAAATAGACTATTGCAAGCCAAGGAGTATTTGTTTGTTTTTCTTTTTCGTTTTGTTTCTTTCTGTCATTTATCTTTCTGTCATAAACGATACGTGACCAAGTTTGGTACCTCAAAAAACATTTGTCCTAATATAATATGCTGACTCAGCCTATTTTCTTCGTTAGGATCATCCCTTCACCATTATTTTACGAAACTGCAGGTCAATGCTGGTCTAGAGTGTGGAATAGGATTAGAGGAATTCGATGATTGGGAGGAAGGGGATAGTATTGTGGCCTTTAACACTGTGCAAAAGAGAAGAACACTCGAAGAGGCCTCAGCTTCAATGTCGGCTGCACTCGAGAAAGTTAGGATGCGACTTTGAGAAAGAAAAAAAGACAGTTCGTTCGACGTATTTTCATGGGCCGCCTTTTTACACATTGATGCTCATTTTCTATCAACTATACGCGCCGTTTTTACACATTGATTCAACCAAACTCACGATTCGACTTGTGGCATATGGTGCAGATGAGTTTTTGGCAGTAAAAAGTAAAAACTGCAGATTAAGCGCCCTTTATTGTATGCTATTTCGTTGTAAATAGTCATATATATGTATATCCAGATTAAGCTCCATTTTGTGAAGAGGAACAAGTTGCGCGTTCTTAAGAAATTCAATGATTGTAACGGGGAAACTAAAGGTGTAAGATTGTTTTAACATATACGTACAATCTTGCAATTTTTGCGGGATCAATTGTATTCGACCTTAATGTGGTGATATGCCTCGGTAAAAAGATTACTCTGATATTGTTGTATGTAACTATTTTTCTTGATGGAGTTCTATTTGTGATGTTCGGTTTTTTCTTATTTACGTGCTCCTGAAGTTGTCTGATGTAAGTTTGTATTTGCTGGCTTCGTTCTAAACCAATCACTCCGTATACCTGTTATAGACTGTTTAACTCATACAAAGCCTACAAGCATAGCACAGTGTAGACCGTAAGTAACTTGATAGGTTCTCGTATTGCTCGTCTGTTTAACTAAATGTTCTACAACTCTTCATAAGTGGTCTAAATGTCAAAAGGTACTGTTTCTATTAAGTGTGAATAATGAAACAAATTATTCTTCTTTCGAGTTTCTTTTACGGATTAGTTCTGCACAAGTTTACGTAGGCATGTCGTTTCGATTTCATCCAACGTAGGATCACAGTATTTTCATTAAAGAAAGTGAAAATACATAGTAAAGATTTGGAATCTTGAGACGAAATTTTAGGCATATATTTATGTAACTTGATGAAAATTATAAATCAGTTTACAGACTAAACGATTCTGATATTCTTCCAGATAAAAATTCTTCTCTGCTAAAAAGCATGAAAACTGAAATGCATCTGTCTGCTTTGGTTGGTTTCGATTCGAATACTGCAAGGTTTGTGAGCTTAGAGTTTTTCATGATCTCATGCAGAAAGCTCAACACAAAATTGCGTTACAAAACTCAATCAACCCTGATAAAAAAGGTGGTGGTAAAGACTAAAGACTCAAGAAAACTGATCTCATCATCACTACCCATAAAACGCAGGCTCTGACTGTAAAGATCGTCACTCACTGAAAACAAAGGAAAAGGGAATGGATAGGAAAAGGGAAAACCCGTGGCTTTCGACTTTATTATTTGCATGGACGAATGCTTTTCATGCAGAACACTAGAAAGGGATTATTAATATCCCATATCACTCGAAAGGCGAGACTTGGCCTCGATCATATCCCTCCCCATCGATCATTTTTCTTGATGATGGAGAAAAGGCTGCTGAATAAGCCTTTTCTTCATCAATGGTGTCGAGGGTTTTGATCGGTGGACGCTTGTTCACAGAGATAAACCTCGGAGGAGCTACTTCTGTTGAGAACCGCAGTTTCGAAAATTTAGCCATTTGTGCTTGAAATAATTGCTAAGCTCTTTCTTAATCAGATATGTTATGGGATACAATAGAAGAAAGAAACCTTTACTCTGTGTGTTTGTGGTGAGAAGAATACAATTTTGGTAGGTATATATATAGAGAGAGAGGCTGAAGAATAAAGATGTCTCGATCAAAGCAAACGAGTCCATATGCCGCTGCCTTTTGAATAATTTAAAAGCGTACGAAAGCAGTGTCCTCTTTCTTCGTATTTAATGCAGAAAAGTTGTTTTGTGGATGCTAATGGAGAGAGAAGGGGACAAGAAGCATCATCAACAGCTGTGTATGGTTCATATTTTTCTTGAAATTGGGACCACAAAATCTCGACTAAGATATTCTTCGACTTGAGCTTTTGCAGCCCTTGGCTGAATTTTACATCTACTATTCCAATGCAACAGTTACTCGTTTACTTTTTCTCCGTTTAATCTATCAAATAAACCGAGAACCAAATCTCGGACAAGGCCGTACTTATTCTGCAAGAAATGGAGCTGTGAAATGCCAAAAAAAAAAAAAAAAAAAAAAAAAAAAAAAGGTAAAAAAAAAAAAAAAAAAAAAAAAAAAAAAAAACCTATCCGGAGTTTGAGCTTGACCGTGAAAGTTGTTTTGGTAATTAAACTGAAGAAAATATTTTTGTGATTATGAAATATGAACACGAAAGTTTGAGCTTCAGAAATCATACAGCCCATAATTTATTTTTTTTTTTTTTTTCTCTTTTTTGTGATTTTGAAAGATAACTGAGTTTTTCAGTAATTAAACTGAAGCCCAAGAAAATATTTTTTTTGATTATGAAATATGACCACGAAAGTTTGAGCTTCAGAAATCATCTTGCCCATTTTGTAATTTTGAAAGATAACCGAGTTTTTCAGTAATCAAACTGAAGCACAAGAATAAATCTTGGTAAGCAGTTACATACCGGAAACTTCCTACTGCTTCCCATGCTCTTCGCAGTAAACTAATATCCGGCATTAGAGGTTCTAAAGCGAACTTTTGCATACTCTGCTCGATTGAAGGGCCGATTTCATTTACATGTTTGACAGATTCGGACAATCGATTAAGCAAGTTCACCAAGGCAATCACTTCATTTCTTTGCAGTTCCAGCTGAAAGGAGGAATAAAAATGAAATGAGATTTAATGGATATAGAAGAATATAGTCTTCAGTAACGTCAACCGAGGACTTGAGCAAGACTTACAGGTTCATTTGGATGGCTTTTACCGTCGACTGAGAAGAGAATCTTCAGTGCAGTTCCAAGACCAAGCATCTGAAGTTTTCCCCAAAGCCGGCATTTTTCACATCCAACACAATCCATTAGAGCACTGCAAATTTGGAGTTAAATTTTATAAAATCGAGTATGTGTGCAACAAAGTCACATATTTCATGGTTATAATACTACAAATGTACAAAAAGAAGAAANNNAAAAAAAAAAAAAAAAAAAAAAAAAAAAAGGTGTAGTAAATGAATTGAACATTTCTATTCAGTTTCTAAAACTATCTTTCATCATATGAGCAACACGTTTTCTCGAGGAAATTGGGTAACAGCAAAAGTTTTTTTTTTTTTT